GAATACCATCAAACAACAGGCTAATAAGGTAGTGTAACATTCGTTGAGATATTTACTGCATGCAAAACTAATATTTAATAATTTATTATAATTTTATTTTAGTAGATAATTTACTAACATTTATTTTTTGCAATATTAATATTTGAATTTTATTGCTTATAGAATGAAATATTTTTTATTTAAATAATATTCATTTGTTTCAAAATAAAATATTTATAACATAATTTTCTTGATATATGAACAAGATTTAAGAGAAATATATTATATTCTACTGAAAATTTAAATTTAAATTAAGCTTTTTTTTTAATTAAATTTATTATTATTAATTATATAAATTATAGATAATTTATAATGCAATATTTTTATTCTATAAAAATATCAAATAAGTTATAAGATTCAAATTACATAAAAAATAAGTTTAAAAAGATAAATTATAAAAAGATTTTTTAAAATATAAATTTTATTTATATTTCAAATAATAAAAAATAATTCCATTTAAAAGTTTATTTAATAACAATTATAAAAAATAAAAACAAACTTAAACAAAATTATCAAAATAATAAATTGTATATAAATTTTGATTGCGCACAAATAAATCATTTAAGATTCACAAAGTTAAAATAAAGAACCAGAGGCGAAAATAATTCTACTATTAGATGTGCAAATAAGTTTTTTTTTCTATGCGATCATAACTTCTGACTGAATTCGAATTACTTCCTATTTGAAAGAGCAGATGCCATCTGAAAGAATATTCTTTTGTTTTTAAAAAGTTAAAGAGTTGTTTTTAAAATGAGCGTGTTAAAAGTTTTTCTAATTCTATGCAACAATTTCAAGCAATATAACGTGCGAGAAGCATTATTTGCGTCATTGTTTACTTTTTGCATTGCAGTTTAGGAAATTAATTATTGAAAACATTGAAATGATTTGTGCGGCATTGGAAGAAAACGCTATATCTTACAGAACATGCAAAAAATCATATCAAAGATTTAGAGCCGGAAATTTTAATTTGGAAGATCGGTTTAAGTACATCGAAAAAATTTGATGATGGTGAATTAAAGGAATTGCTCAATGAAAATCCGAACTAGATGTAAGAAGAATTAGCAGAAAGATTGGGATCATCAGACAAGCAGTATCTATCCGATTGAAACAATTGGATAAGATTTAGAAGTTAGAGCGATGGGTTCCATATGAATTAAGTAAAATGAATAAGAAAAACAGACTTGAGATTTCTGTTATCTTGCTTTCATAAAAGGAAAAGTTTTCTGTAAAAAATTGTTATTGGCGATGAAAAATAGGTCTTATATGACAATCCTAAACGAAATTATGGATTAATCTCGGGGAACCGTCGGCTTCAGTGGCAAAACCGAATTTGCATTGCAAAAAAATTTTGCTATTTATGTGAGATTTCCAAGGAATTATTAATTATGAACTGCTTTTACATGGAAGGACAATAATTGCCAAATATTACCAAAATTAATTAATGAATTTATACGACTAGCTAAAGCAGAAACGACCGTTTACTGGATAAGGAACAAAATACGTGATTTCACAGCACGACAATGCTCGCTATACGTTACAAAAGGAACGTGAGATACAATTTTGTGTTGGGATGGAAAGTCACATGCTCTCTAAATATCCGAAAATGTATTAATGACTTCATAACCAACAAGTAGCCGTCATTTTTTATGGAATTTATAATTTACACACCAGATGGAAAAATGTTATAGAGAATGAGAATATTCTGAGCCATAATCTTATATCTGATTTATGTAATAAAATCTTGAATTTGGAAAAAAAAGGGGAAGAACTTATTTGCACACCTAATATTATAGTATTGAAATAAAAATATGTTTATTATTATAAAACAATACTATAAATGTTATTTTTAAAAACATAATTGATATGAGCTATGACTATTGACATGCACAAAAAACACCAAGGAAGAATTTTTGATGTATACAATTTACAATTAAATTATATTATGTATTTACATTCATGAAATTTTAAATTCGTATACAAAAATTTTCAATATATAAAGAAAAAATGAATTATAACCATATGTACAAAATTATGACAAATTATGACAAGTTATAATATATTATGATTCATTTTTGAAAGATCATTTATTAAAATAAAATAAACAAATATTTTCATACAAATGTTCTAAATAATATAATATAATATTCTAAATATTCTAAATAAGAAATATATTAAAATCCTAAATATTATATATATGTGTATATTATGTGTATATATATGTGTATATACGTATAGAAGTATATGTGAATTATATTATATTGAAGTTTATATTATATTATACGAAAATTATTTAAAATATTTAATATTTGAATAAATTGTATAAATTTTTTTAATATATATATATATATATTAATATACATATACATTTTTTAATATATTATACATATAAATATAAATATATATATATATATATATATATATATATATATATA